CCCACTGTGGAAAACAAGTGGGCGTGAAAACAGGCCTACATCTCTGTACACCTTTTAGAAACCGCTTCATCAGCGGGTGATAAAAGCTGTTCTGACTCCAAACCCTTTGTGGCAGGAAGAGATGGCTGCAATCGTACGTTAAAGCGTACTGAAAGCCAACTCCCTATCCATCAGCTGTTGTAGAAAAACAACACGCCGCTTAAAAGGCATGAGGTGGTCTCTAAACCTTCTCTGTGCACCAGCGCTGAAAAGCCGTCCCCTTGATGTGTACAGAACTGTGGTAGATGCAGCACGTGAATCTTGAATTGTGCACACTATCTCCTGAGGGAGACCCATCCTCTAAGTGGAACCGCTCAGCGGTCAGACCCACCGGTGTTGACCTATTTCTGGGTAACTCTTGGTCGCTCCTCCTGCCTGAAGGAGAGCATCCTTCCTCCATGACAGTTCCACGGCGACCCAACAACAGACGTTGCAGGCCTGGGAACCATAGTGCGTTCACACGCCGGGAGCCACCAAGGAGGGCTGTCAATCCCTCCTCTTGAACTCGGTTCATGGACCGTAAAAAACAGAGGAGGTGGGGGGGAAAGAAAACGCGTAAAAAGCGTTTTGGGCCACCGACTGTGAGCAAATGCGTCCCCCCCCAGCGATGGATCGTCTCGCGGGCTCAGGGAAAACCGTAGTTGACATTGAGCGTTCTTCTCGCATCGCAAACAGGTCCACAGCTGCTTGCCAACTTCTGCTGCGTCTGAAAAACATCAGATCCGGATGGAGGATCCGGTCCACGTAACGTGGGCCGCCCTTGGACGTCACATCAGAACACCGGATATGTAAACCGCTCTAATAAAAGCAGGTTTTGATGAACCCAACTCAGTAGCTTTCGCACAATGTGTAACATCTGGCTGAACGCACACCCTGATGGTTATGTATGCAGCAGTCATCATGATGTCTGTGTGAATCATCACGTGTTGATTCTGTAGCACAGGAGCAAGGTGTTGAATCACATTCAGTACTGTGCGACACTCCAAAACATTGATGTGGGCTGATGTGTAGTGGGGCCACAGCGCCCCTACTGCTTGAGATAGGTATGTCCCCCCCCCAGCCTGACAGCAACGTGTCCGTGAAGACTGACCCATGACGTGGGTCTGCTGAGGGGGACTCCCTCTGATAGAAAAACAAGGTGTTTCCCCAGAGTCGGAGGTCTGCTTCCACAGAGGAAAAGACAATGATCATCCGTCGTTGTTTTACTGGATCCACATGCAGACGTGCAAAAACACCTCTAGAGGCGTCTCATGTGATAAATGAGTTTTCATGGTGGTTGAATTTAATTCCACTCCAGAAAAACAAATGTCTGGGCCGGGAAAATCGAGCTTCCTTCCACTTATGGCGAAGCCCAGATTAACAGGTGTGATGTCAACACCTGATCCTGCATCAGCGCCTCCTGTCTGAAGTGACAGGATCCGCAGATCATCCAGGTAAAAACAAAAAACTCTCGTCTCTGTGTTTTAGGATGATCGGTATGCGTTCTCTGGATGTTAAACAACAGATCCAAGAACGGTCTCACCCCTCCGATCCGTGAGTAAAAACCCTCGTGTTTTCTCTCCCTTGGGGAACTCTGTAGATTACTTTTATCAGAAAACACTTGGATTTCTGCATTTAGGGAAGAGAATCAGTCTGATGATGATGACGGGACCGTTTATATAACTCCTCTGAATGGAGGGGTTCGGGTTGCAAACTGTAACTTGTACCATTTGCATAAACCCTGTCCATCCATCTGAAAAACGGCGAGCATGTTTAGCCACTCTACGTAACGTTCGTGGATGAACGTGCGTTAATGATGCGTCATGTTTTGTACGGCTGTCAGCAGTCCGTCCCTCAACCGCCGTCATGCGTCGCGGGAATGTTTTCTGTGTGACCCCGGGCGAGACTTGAGCTGAAGGCGAAGCGTGTGACAGCTGATGACGCGGTGAGCTGCGCGTTTGACGTCGCTGTGCGAACGTTGAAAGGCGGAGGGCGTGACTTCATTTACACCGTGCTGTTGGAGTGAAGGCTGCTTAGCCCCGCGGGAGCACACGTTGTTCTCTGGAGGGACGCGCGCCGCTCTCGCTGGAGGGGCGCGCGCTAGAGGGAGGTGGGACTCATTACCGGATTCTTCGGCTGCTTCACGTTTAAGCTGCGGTGAGCTGCCGAAAGCTGAGAGAGAAGGACCCCCACCCGGACCAGCCTGCGGACCACATTCATACCGATGTGAGCTGGTTAGCGCCGGCAGCTGTGTGTGTGCGCCAGCATCAACGTAGCGCCGTTGGATGGAGGCTGTCCATCTTAGTGATCGACTCGTCATGTCAGAGCGGCGGTGAGTTAAAAACCTGTTTAAGGACACCGGCTCATGTGGAGGCTGTTCCATCCCACGAGTGCGAGTTGACACCGCTTGAGTGAGGATCGTGCAGTTCTAGTTGGTAATGAGTTATTTTCGCTTACCGTTGTGCCGTGATCGACTCGTCATGTCTAGAGCGACGGTGAGTTTAAAAAACCTTTATTTAAGGACACCGGCTCATGTGTGGAGGCTGTTCTGTGATCGACTCGTCATGTCTTAGAGCGACGGTGAGTTAAAAAACCTTTATTTAAGGACACCGGCTCGTGTGTGGGGCTGTTTCATCCCACGGGTACGAGTTGACATCACTTGGGTGAAAAACGTGCAGCCCGGGATTATAACGAGTTATTTTCACTTACCATCGTGCCCTGTAAGCGATTAATAATGTCTTGGAGCGGCGGTGAGTTTAAAAAGCCTTATAAAGGACACCGGCTCTTATGTGTGCGGCCGCTGTGAGCTCATCCGGGCTTACAGACTGGCTAAAAAACAGACACTTGATCATTAATGATGATTTATTTCAACTTTCGTGTCACTTTTACACACACCCTCCGGAGACCGTCATTTTGAGAGCTTTCTCTCTCATGAGCTCTGCGATTGTTTGCCCAGAGCGCTGTCTTGCAGGCGAACTCTGGGGAAACGCTGAGCTGCAGGCTGCCGGAGTGCAGAGGGCTGGATTCTGACGGGCGGGGCTGGTGGTGGAACTCAGTGAGAGCCGCGGCCGTGGAAAAGTCGAAGCTTGCTCGCGACGGTCCCTCCAGCGGGACAGGGTGGGCCGCGCGGCTTGATGAGGTGGTGCACAGCCTCTGGCACCTCCTCCGACTGTTTCACTTCGCCAGCATGGTTTGAAGCTGCTCTGAACAGCGCGTCCGCGATGTTTCATCAGGTCTTGTGCAGATTCTCCGGCAGCGAGGGGAGTAAC